TTTTTATTTAATACAATTTTTTGGACAAAAAAATCACAATATATTGCCTTGCTTACAGTATCGCAATATATCGGGATATATCGTATCGTGACCCCTCTGTTATGATATGTATCGTATCGCCAAATTCTTGCCAATGCACAGCCCTACTCATATTTATAAGTGTTTTAATGATTTGGCTGATTAATCAAAAAAATCGACAGATTAATCGATTATTAAAACAATCATTAGTTTCAGACCATCATAAATGCCTTCATTTTATTTCCCTGATAGTTTTTTTAACTGCTAATTCTAATGACCCTGGAAATAAGTTTTATTTCTCACAGAAATAAGTTTGATTTGATCAGTTTTAGTAAAAGTTTAACTTTTTCACTTCTCTGAAGTAAGATTTTCCCATGTCCTATATGCATCGTTAAGTGGATAGATTATTTTAGGTCTCATTTACTAAAAAAATAAGAAATAAAACAACGTATGACTAAAAAGTTAAAATAGTTTTGTCTTTTTCGGCCCGCGACAATGACAAAATCAAAGAATTTTGTAGACAGTTTGAAAATACTGAACAGCTTTAATATTAAAATAATAAAGGATTTTACAGTACTTGTAGAGTAACTTCTAATAAGTATTTGCCTCATATTAAAGTAAAGTGTGTTCTGTGCAAAACATCCAGTATTAGCTGGATTTATTTGGACAGCTTAGTCACACATTCTGCATAAATCATGTTCAAYAGTGAATCCAAGTCAAATGTTTTCAGTGCACGTTGTCATTTACACTACAAAAAATGTCCATTTAACCAAGTCTTTCAGTCTTGTATCCAGACAAAAACATTTTTTTGATCTTGTTTTGAGACTGATGCACGAAACAAGAGGAGATGAAGTTAGATTATTAATCTTGTTAGCCTGGAAACGTTCCTTATTTCAAGCAATCTTACAAATTACAATTATCTTTTTCCATGGACAGATTATTTTACTTAAYTTGAGTGTGAATCTTATCAAATTTTGACAAATTAAGTAAGATAATCTGTCCATGGAATAAGATAATTGTAATTTGTAATATTGCTTGAAATAAGGAAAATTTCCAGGCTAACAAAATAATTATTTGCCTGAAAATATAAGATTTGGTTAGATGGGCAATTTTTACAGTGTAATAATCAGAGCTGCAGGTCATGACAGTTTCTATGTTTTATTTTATTTAATTAATTAATTAATTTTTGTTAGACCATTTTAAACTTGAACAGGACGGTATTATCCATATTTATCTCCTGTGATAAGCAGTTTGTGTGTCAGATTAAAAGCGTAACTTAGAAATGTTTTGTTTAAGGATATTTTTTCCTTCATCATATAATTTTGTTTGTGCGTATTACCAATGTTTTGTAATTGCWGGTTTAACGACAGGAATATCTAAGAATGACTCAGCGTTCTGGATTCTGCAGCTTTGACACCATCCTGATTCAAAGTTAACGTCTGCTTGTGCTAAAAATAGACTTATTTCTCTTTGTGCTGAACCTACTATTATAAACTGTAAAAAATAAATAAATAMATTTCTTTTCTGTGACACCGCAGGTCGTGCAGCTACTGAGATGATAACTGACAGTTTTTTTGTGTTAAACCAACAGGAAGCTCAGTCGACGATTAGATGAAGCAGATGCGTCTCGTTATCGTCTTGTGCAACAGTTTCAGACATTTTCAGTGTTTGATGACAACAGGAAAGTGTTGAAGCAGAGCAGCACAGCACAGAAAARCCTTTAAAGAGCCAATAATTGTGTGTTTTTACTCTTGACGCAGAGCAAAGAGTGACTGGATTTTAGCAGGAGGAAGGCTGCCGGTCCCCAGAGAACTGACTGGATGTTTTTTTAGCTGCAGAGCGTCAGAGCACGTCGTGCATTTCCTACATTTTTAAAATGTTTTTTTCATCATAATTCTTCACATTGTCCTCTCTAAACTGCTCTTCCCTCCCTCTGTTCAGATGGAGGCAGTGACACGGACCGTGTCCTGCCCGTCGACTCATAGGCAGGTCAGAGACTCGTGGAGAACCAGTGTAAGTTCACCCTGCAGCCTGCCAACCTGCTAACATTCAGTTTGAGTCAGATCACATCTAAAGCTGAAAATGAGCACAAAGATCAGACTGAAACTGTAACTTTTCTCTTCTTCTTGTCAATTWTTTATGCTCTGCTTTTGTGAATGGGCTTAAAACAAATATATTGTGGACTTATTGAATTGGGAAAATGTCCTTTACAGTTATTTTCACCCTATCCTTACTAACTACACAGTATGCTGAATGCAGACTTGTTTTAATTTGCTACAGGATTAATAAAATGATGGTTTTATACTGTATATATATATATATATATATGGTCATGTTTGGTTGTTTAGTGGGAAACTTAACGACACAAACCTACTTTTCTAGAGAAGGCCACTTCTCATTCAAGAAGCTTTATCAATAATGAAACGTCCAAACTTTAAACTGGATGTTGTTTGTATCAATAAAATTTGAATTAAAACACACATTCTTACTTTATTGACCTAATTATATTAGTTCATTTCAATCCAAAAGTACTTTGTTGATCCCAAAGGCAAATTAGATACAAGTTGGRTGATTTAGTGATTTTAGTTCGTAAATGAAAGTGACCTGGTTCAAATGCAGGGAAAAAAGATAAAAGCAAAATATGGGCAAAAGGTTTGGATTTGGTAGAGTTTTTGTCATTGACATATATTACTGGATTGGTCGTCACGTGATCTGGGCGTGGCTTCGCAAGGGGGATTTTTATGCATTGAGCTAATGCTAATGCTAACCATTGAAATCAATGAGCAGAACGTAGCGTGGTGCAAACAAACACTTTATAAATGTACAAATGGTACAAATACTTTGCTATATACTGCAGAAATTGTTACATGTTTACAAGAGATAAAAAGGTTATGTTTCACAGGTAAATATTATGCATATTTAACCAAAATTAATTATTTTAATTGTAAAACCTTTATGCTAACATTAAATATCTTCAATGTTCATGTTTAACCTGATTTAAAATCGATTTTATCTGTTGTCAAATATATTATTTACTGATATTAAACATGTAAATATGGACTTTGTTGGATTGCTGACTTGATAGACTGCATAATAATTCAGAAACTGACTCACTGACAGACACTAATGTAATGATTGAACATCATAAACACACGTCAGAAAAGCCAGTTTATTCAGATATTGCCTACATCCAGTATTTGTGTGTTTTTTTTTAACATTTCCAGAGAAAAAGGAGAAAAAAGGTGTGCCAGCTGTGGGTCAGCTTCAGATACAGCCTGCATCATTATG